TCTTGAGTATTGAGCGAAGACAACTGTTAATAAAGGAATAAACAGGTAAATTAATAGCACAAAATTATGAGATAATGGGGATGGTGTCAGGATAAAATTACAAATTCTGGAGAATAACTGAGCCCTTTTTTAAGCTGATTACACAGGAAGTGACAGATTTCACGTTTAACACTATCTTTATCGAATAGAACGAGGGTGCGCCAAATAGGGTGTTGTTGAGTCTTTATACTTGATTGTGCAGGTGAGCATGTAGTTTCTTATAATGGCTTCTAGACCTACCTGATGAGATGCAAAGGTTGTGAATAGAGGGGCCGTTGAAGGTCAGACAATATGAATGTAGACCATTTCTCACATGAGTCCATGTGTCTACCGACTACGATAGTGACGACGACCTAACTAAATGGCACAATTACCCTACTAACGACCCTTAGTACCCTCAGCAATATGACGTCATTCTGTTTTGAGTAGTCCACAAAAACTAAAGGGCAGTAACAAAAAATAACAGGTAAGATGCAAGCGTTAAAAGTAAAGGTTGAGTAATTCCGGACTGTGTGAACTTCATAATGGAGATGGTGAGATGGAGCTGTTTCCGTAATCCTTAGTATTCACTGATCATTTAAGCAGACGTCGATCTTCAATGAAACAGCAATGAAGTCATGATAATTAAGAGGTGATGACGCAGTAATTCAAGGACAGTATGGGATTGCGCAGGTTGACAACCATGATCAAAAATACAACCATCAGAATGCTTATTTTATACGCCAGCTTCTTAAGAAAAAAATTCATTCTGTGAACTTCTGGAGAAGCGTGAAGTTTCTTGTCAGTCACTGATATGAAGTCCTGTTGTTCAAAATAATGAGTCACATGTAGCCTAGTGTTATGTAGGCCACATGAACTTACTAACGACACTGGTGACATTGTTGGTAGTCGTCGGTGTGAGTATGTGTGGCTTCAAAATTCAATACGTAAACTAATGAATTGTCCGTGGTATTATTATTGCTGACATCGTCATTGATGATAAGCATTTAATTTCATGTACTAAATCTGCTAAAGGGATTTTGTCAGACTGTAAGCATCCACTTTACTCCCAGCTCTCACCTAGCTACATCTCCTCAGGTAGAACAAGAAGTCGTTTCAAAAGACTATAGGCACACGTCTACGTAAAAAAACCCACGATACCACTTTTAGGACGTAATATATGTGACGAAAATCGTGTCAAACGTCAACTAACTAACTAACTAACTAACTAACTAACTAACTAACTAACTAACTAACTAACTAACTAACTAACTAACTAACTAACTAACTAACTAACTGACTAACCTTGAACTAACTAACTAACTAACTAACTAACTAACTAACTAACTAACTAACTAACTAACTAACTAACTAACTAACTAACTAACTAACTAACTAACTAACTAACTAACTAACTAACTAACTAACTAACTAACTAACTAACTAACTAACTAACTGACTAACCTTGAACTAACTAACTAACTAACTAACTAACTAACTAACTAACTAACTAACTAACTAACTAACTAACTAACTAACTAACTAACTAACTGACTAACCTTGAACTAACTAACTAACTAACTAACTAACTAACTAACTAACTAACTAACTAACTAACTAACTAACTAACTAACTAACTAACTAACTAACTAACTAACTAACTAACTAACTAACTAACTAACTAACTAACTAACTAACTAACTAACTAACTAACTAACTAACTGACTGACTAACCTTGAACTAACTAACTAACTAACTAACTAACTAACTAACTAACTAACTAACTAACTAACTAACTAACTAACTAACTAACTAACTAACTAACTAACTAACTAACTAACTAACTAACTAACTAACTAACTAACTAACTAACTAACTAACTAACTAACTAACTAACTAACTAACTAACTAACTAACTAACTAACTAACTAACTAACTAACTAACTAACTAACTAACTAACTAACTAACTAACTAACTAACTAACTAACTAACTAACTAACTAACTAACTAACTAACTAACTAACTAACTAACTAACTAACTAACTAACTAACTAACTAACTAACTAACTAACTAACTAACTAACTAACTAACTAACTAACTGACTAACCTTGAACTAACTAACTAACTAACTAACTAACTAACTAACTAACTAACTAACTAACTAACTGACTAACCTTGAACTAACTAACTAACTAACTAACTAACTAACTAACTAACTAACTAACTAACTAACTAACTAACTAACTAACTAACTGACTAACCTTGAACTAACTAACTAACTAACTAACTAACTAACTAACTAACTAACTAACTAACTAACTAACTAACTAACTAACTAACTAACTAACTAACTAACTAACTAACTAACTAACTAACTGACTAACCTTGAACTAACTAACTAACTAACTAACTAACTAACTAACTAACTAACTAACTAACTAACTAACTAACTAACTAACTAACTAACTAACTAACTAACTAACTAACTAACTAACTAACTAACTAACTAACTAACTAACTAACTAACTAACTAACTAACTAACTAACTAACTAACTAACTAACTAACTAACTAACTAACTAACTAACTAACTAACTAACTAACTAACTAACTAACTAACTAACTAACTAACTAACTAACTAACTAACTAACTAACTAACTAACTAACTAACTAACTAACTAACTAACTAACTAACTAACTAACTAACTAACTAACTAACTAACTAACTATCTGACTAACCTTGAACTAACTAACTAACTAACTAACTAACTAACTAACTAACTAACTAACTAACTAACTAACTAACTAACTGACTAACTAACTAACTAACTAACTAACTAACTAACTAACTAACTAACTAACTAACTAACTAACTAACTAACTAACTAACTAACTAACTAACTAACTAACTAACTAACTAACTAACTAACTAACTAACTAACTAACTAACTAACTAACTAACTAACTAACTGACTGACTAACCTTGAACTAACTAACTAACTAACTAACTAACTAACTAACTAACTAACTAACTAACTAACTAACTAACTAACTAACTAACTGACTAACCTTGAACTAACTAACTAACTAACTAACTAACTAACTAACTAACTAACTAACTAACTAACTAACTAACTAACTAACTAACTAACTAACTAACTAACTAACTAACTAACTAACTAACTAACTAACTAACTAACTGACTAACCTTGAACTAACTAACTAACTAACTAACTAACTAACTAACTAACTAACTAACTAACTGACTAACCTTGAACTAACTAACTAACTAACTAACTAACTAACTAACTAACTAACTAACTAACTAACTAACTAACTAACTAACTAACTAACTAACTAACTAACTAACTAACTAACTAACTAACTAACTAACTGACTAACTAACTAACGAATCTTCTTGACACTTGTTTATAATCAATATTCCCCATCATTATACCATTAAGGGTGACTGTTATTATTCTTATTAGAATTATAACCACCTTCTTTTGCTTGTTCCTCACAAGGGTAAACGCCATTTAAGCTCCGTAGTATTTGTTATTTTTTGGTTTTTTCCCTCATCATTCTATGTCAGGAGAACATTAGATTCAATACTCTATAACATGCTAACATTTCCATACTGTATCGACAATATTTTTTGAAACAAACCTACTGTTATTGTTATTATTATTATTATTATTATTATGGTTATTACTTTCAACTTATACTTTGAACATTTCCGACACCATTCCTACTGTAAATGTCAAAAAGTTACTGTGGTTAGTTTTGTTTATATTTTGAGTAAATTAAATGCGATATTGTGACAAATGTTGAGAATTCCATGCTGTGTTATACGTACTATTCTTGAAATAAAGAAGATCATTATTACTATTAATCTTTGAGATTTCACTTGTTCTACTCAGTTTCAATTTAAGTTTGTAGCTAATTTCTTTTTAGTTGATATGTTCATGACCTAAACTGCTGTTCTATTAGTTTTTGAAATCTAACGGTCTGTTTTTGTTGAAGAATTCCAACTGATTGTGTTTCCTGCACTAGAATCTAAACAGATCTTCAGTACACTGTGATCTTCTCTGAGTCTGTAATTGATATCTAACTGTGATGACAATGAAAACAGGGAAGGCAGTGATTCTGGAACTGATCAATTCTCTATGATTCTACATCTCTGACTAGACACTAAGGGGATAATCAAATGTTGGTTTGAAGAGATTTGATTGGTTACAGGATTTCATCATGAACTGACATCAGTTTGAGAATCATTGGAAAACCACCACTCAAGTACTGGACAGCTGTTCCGCCAGTGTAGTCTGGGACTCTTGAGGAGTACGCGGCCACGCCACTGACAGGGTTCAAACCGAAAACCTTCTGGTTACAAGACAAGCCAGCCCGCAGACACTTCAGCCACTGGGATCCGACTCTTCAATGACTGCCAGCCAATGAATTTTAACTTCTGTCAATTCACGCACGATATAGAGCAACTGGCACAATCTAATGTCATCGCTGGCGAGTATTCGTCCTGACTCTCGACCTCTTGGTCAACCTCACTGGTATATATATATATATATCACGGCGAGAATGTAATTCCTAGTACCCTTAAAGCTTCCTCTATTCTGTAATTCTTACAGAGCGAATATTCTTCAGTTATACAATAAGCATTCTCAAATAACTTAGATTCTATCAACTGGCTAATCTTTCTTATCTCTAGTTCTACATTTCAAACAGATTTTAATTAAACTTGGCGGTCACAAATCAACATTTCAAATTTAGCTCCTTATAACACTAGAGAAATAAACAAATAAACATTTCTGTTATTCCTACACCCTGTATTCATTAAATGACCCCTTAAAACAGCCAGAATTAGTTAATTTTAAAACGATTATTAAACATATCGAATATTTATTTACATATGTGTATGCATTGAACAATGAATTTGATTGGTTCATTTTCCTATATGTATATTGCATTCAATAATTCAATATAATGTAATAACCTGCCCCTTTTAACACAGATTTGAAATCACATACGCTATTGGCTGTATTGACAACAGCCTTGATACGTGATTTAAACTGAAATTGACTGACTAATTAATTGAAGTATGTTTGTAATATCTCATAGATTGTCAGCATCATCGTCAAGTTAATTCTAAGTAACACTGTTATTATCATTATTAGTATTTTCATTTATTAATTTCTAAATGTCTGGATTTTATAAAAAAGAGACAATTACAAATCCTCAAACTGCTGGACGTAAAACAGTTGATATATGCGATTTAATTATTGACTATGTGACCCAATTTCCATTAGCTAAAGATATTAAATCACGGATTAACTTGGATGATATCCAACTGACTGACATCGATTTCACACGTCTTCAAATTATTCATAAAGAAACTGAATACTTGACTTCACCGAATTTAACAAATGGAGATTTAGAACAGAATTCAACAGCACCAGCACAACCACCGCCGACAACAACAGTGTTGGCGCCAACAGTAAAAAGGAATCTTAAAAGTCATGTCCTCTTTTCATCTTTATTTACAAATAATACAAGTGAGACACAAACGAATCATTTGAGAACAGAACGTCGTACAAGTTCATCTTGTCGGTTAAGTTTACAAAAAGCTGTTGTCAAGGGAGGTAATATAAATCTGCAGATTGGACCACCAAGTATGTCTGTACAAGCCAATGGTGGTTTTCGACGTGAAGTCACTATGTCTAAAGATATTGAACAAGTATTTGAAGAAGAACTTATCTGGACGTTGGATACAGAAGTGAGTAATATGCAGTTGTTTTTAGTATATCTTTCTTTATATGTCGGTAACCCTTTCCCCTTTTCCTCATTCCTTGACTTCTGAGTGGAAAATAGGGCGCCAAACTTTGAAGTTTCGCCTTTACTCCGAGCTTACAACCAACCAATGAAATAAGTGGTTTAAGAGTGTGTTAGCCGGGAGTTGAATCCAGCCCTCTGACAAGCATCTTACTACTGAAATATCGACTCTTTACTAACAGTTTCAATCTATTTTTAAAAAGTTTAATGTAAATGGCGAAGAAAAAGAAGTTTTTGATGACGTGTAAAGTGGGCACAAAATCTCATCATAGACAGAAATGGCTCATTTATCATTTCAAAGACTGACTCATCTCTGGTACTGATATCATTCCATATTAGTTAATTTATTAAATGTATCACACAGTCAGTGAAACAGTATTATTTACTGGATGACACAGTTTCGAACACAATACATTATCGTTCATAATCATTCCATCAATTATAATCACACAACTCCGAAACTTGAGTTTTATAGTTATCTTTGTTCTCCCATATTTGTCGTCGTCGGGGTAGTAGAATTTTCCAGATTTCTGGGTGGACAGGTGTTGAATCACTCCTATTACACGTACTCTTTTCAGTTGATTCGATAAACAAAGCTTCTGTTGTCAATCTCTCCCTCCACCCTGTGACATTAGATTTTAAAACTGTCATCTTATCTCATCCATCCTATTGTATGGTTGTGTGTAATTGCATGTAGTGAGTGGTATAGCTGAACTATTTATTCTCCAGATTTCTTATCTTATTCGGGTCAACTAATCTAGATTTCGCAGCTAGGTTTTTATGTTCGGCTAGTCTGACTACACATGTTCTACTAGCTTGACCTATGTATTTGACCTGACAATCATTCCAGCAGGGTATTAGATAAACTTAATTGTCTTGTTTTTAAGGCTCCACAGGATTGATCCTTTAACCGACACAGCTTGTTTCCAACTGAGTAAAGAAGGGTAGGCAGAATACCAGATCGTTTTAACTTCCGTACACAGAACGTCAAACGAATTAAATTTCTGGCAGGTAACCTGATGTGTAAAGACCAGGAAAGATCACAAGAAATACACAATCCAAGGTATTTGACATTCCATTTTAGTTCCAACCCCTTTGGTATCTATGATAGTGGAACCATGCAAAGTAACCAGTTCATGTAAGTCACACTTGCATCTGAGAGTGAAATTAACAACCTGACATTTGGAGGGATTTAGCTTAAGACCATTTGACAGGAACCATTGACTAATTTCTGATAAAAAAGTCATTCAGTTACCCCCAACCCCCACCTTAACCGCATGTGAGGAAGGAACTTGGTAGGATGCACATTCCTGTAAAATTCCACCTTAAAAGTCAATTAGTCACTTCATGTAAGTAGATTAAGATTCCTGAATAAATTAATTTCCTTAGTTTGTCCTTCCATTTATTCATTTTGGTTAGTTAACTCATCGGTAAATCAGACGATAAATTCTAACTTCACAGAAAGCTGAAAAAATATATAATGATATATTATTGTATTATAATTATTATTGTTCCCTTGGCTTCCGAGTGGAACATACGGCTTCAACAGCCCATCTCCACTGATATAAGTATAAAACTTAAGCACTGTAGTACAGTATAACTCCATTATGGATAAGATTTTATTTTAATAAATCATACAGTGGTGCTGTACAGTAATATTAACTGATGACCACGTTTCGAGCACAATTTATTACTGCTCATAATCATATCAAGTCACTAACCACACAACTTTTTTCCTTCATTTATATACATGTGTGGAATCGATTAGATATTGGATTACAATTTAATATAGGATAATGTACATTCAGAAATAATAATAATACGAGTGTTATTGATCAAATACAATCAGATGGGAAATAAGACGAGTGTTTTTTATGATCATAATAAGTAACTTGTCAGCATGTTGTGATGTACGTGAATTGAAATAGAATACAATTTAAGGTTATTTATTATCCTCCTCTGATCTGTCTGACTGACTGGCGGTAATAATATCTTCCATATTTCTGGTATTTGCATTGAGTCATTTCTGTTGCATGTGTAGGGTGTAGACTCAATGAACAAGGATTCAGTAATCAGCCTCTCTAGCTCTCCACCTACCTACCTATATTACTTCTTAGAATTTTAACCCTCTCACACCATGCTATTGTGTGATTGCGTGTTAATGTATAGAGTGCGATTGTTGAGTTTTTTCTAAATTACTCATCTTCTCGGGGTCAACCATTCTTACCTTAGCTAAATTCTTATTTTCCGACAATTTGACTACCCCCGACCTACTAGTTTGACCTATGTAGTTGACCGCACTCACAGTCATTGCAGGGTATTTTGTAAATTATATTATTTTGTTTAATTGGGTCCACCGGCTCCTTTAGCCTATAGAGATTGTCTCTGAGTGAGTTTGTAGGTTCGAATGCCACCCTAATTCCTGCTTTATTGAGAATCCTACGTAGGGTCTCAGATATCCCCTCCTTATATGGTATAACAGTAGACGCTTTATATTCTCTCTCTTTTATTTTATCATTACTAGTTTCACAATTATTTTTATTTTGCTTTTGGCCTTTACTGATCTTCCTAATGAAATTTATAGGATAGTTATTTGATACCAACGCCTCTTCTATCTGCTTCATTTCATCGTTTAGATCTTTTTTGTGCTACTTAGTGCTACTGCTCGGTTTGTCAGACACTTAACTTAGGATGCCTTTACAAGCTGGCAACAGAAATGACTCAGTGCAAATACCAGAAATATGGAATGTATTATTACCACCAGTTAAATCAGAGGAGGATAACAAATAATCTTAAAATCCTATTTCAATTCACGTACATCATAACATTGTAACAAGTTACTTATTTTTACTATAAAAACACTCCTCTTATTTCCCATCTGATTGTATTTGATCAATAACCTTCATATCAATATTTCTGAATGTACATTATCTTTAATTGAATTTTAAATTTTCCCGGCGATTGATCGATTGGACCGAAGTGCTTGGTCTCAGCTTGACATATCGGCTTCTTGTGCAGATGCTTCGACAATGTCTGAGCATCTCTGGGTTCGAGCGTCGGTGGGAACATCATCACTCACTGGAGAATGCAGGTACATCCGGATGACGGGTATCAAATAGTGCGAAATGCGCATGCTGGATTCCACCGCTAGTCACCATCCACAAGTTAAATTCTAAGTACATTATCCTATATTGATCTTTATTCAAATGTCTAATCATCAATTTTTACTCATGTATATAAATGAAAGAAAAAAGTTGTGTGATTAGTGACTTGAAATGACTATGAGCAGTAATAATTTGTGCTCGAAACGTGGTCATCAGTTAATATTACTGTACAACGAACACTGTGTGATTTATCATAATAAAATCTTATCCATAATGGAGTAATACTCTACCGCCACAGTGCCCAAGTTTTATACTTATATTAACTTGGATATTTATAAGATGATAGTGTGATTGTATGGTTTAAATAGATCCTATCTCTTGAAAGCCATGAAACATAATACAAAGGCAATCTGCGCATGCTGTTTGTCAATACTGCTGACTGACCTTGAACCTAAGACTTGAACAGATTATTCAATATTCACTATATCCATACATGAATGTGATTTGCATGACTCATACAACATTCGTTTTATTATCACAATGTTAAAATTACAGTATTTATTAATGTTAACAATGAAACAGCAATTCGAAATAATTGTGTTTGTGTTTGTGTTCGTGTGTGTGTTAACTATCTATGTGTTCATTAAAAGCTATGGAAAGCATTCGTACAAATTTATCAACATATATTACAACACATTAGTAACAACAATTATTATTATTATTATAACCAGTAAATACCTTTCAATACATGCATAAAGTCTGTACAACAAAATAACTAGAAAGGTTTATTCTAGTTGTAAAATAATAACATAAACTTTCCAAATATTGTATACATCATACATTTAACTAGATTGTTTTGTTTAAATCACTTAATAATAAGCTTGACTATTGAATATGTATTGAATATTGAACCGCTTGTTTTAATGAACTAGTTAACTTTCAGTAATTTAATATGGTTTTGAAATTTTATTGTCTTAACTACTGAATAAAAAAAATAATGGGATTACAAAATAAGACCAAAATAGTATTTATGTCATGGTTGTTTTTATAATGAATGCAGTAATTCAAAAGATAAATTTCTGAAGAGATGAACAATTTGTTACAGGATTTCATCATGAGCTAACATCGGCTAGACAACCATTGGAAAACCAGCACTGCAGTACTGGACAGCCAGCTGTTTCGTCAGTCTAATTTCAGACTTTTCAGAACTACACACCAACCTCACTTCCAGGATTCGAACCCAAACTTCCAGTAATTAAGAGAGCTCGTAGACCATTACTTTCAAAGTTTTCGAGTATTGGGTTATAAGAAATGTATTCGCTTTCAGGGTAGATTTCATTACAAGTCATTGAAAAGCGTAAAGCATTTCGTCTCCGTTTGGAAATCTCTAAGTGTGCGTCCAAACGACTGGCCAAATAGTTAGCCGGGTGTCCACTGAAGACAAGTACCAAACTGGGGCGAAACAATTGTCCAGTATTTCCTGGTTCCCAGTGTTTCTTCAGCTGATTTCAGTTAGTGACGAGATCTACAAAGAAATCTTAAAGTTAACTGGTGACTAGCAGTGGAATCCAACATAAAGTACGTTCCGTCCTATTTGGGACTGCCTCATCACCTGGATGTACCTGCATTCCCCAATGAGTACGTGATGATGTCCGCACCGAGGCTTGAACCCAGCACGCATCGTTTCACACGCAAAAGCGCTACCTACCGGACCGAATCGGCCATGAGAGCCACATCTTTCCTGCGCAACAGGTATCAGTAATTATTTCATTAAATTTCGACTATCCCGTTGATTGATTTGACCGATGTGATCGGCCTCAGGTTGACGTGCCGGCTCATT